CTGTTTAGTGTTTAATAATAATAGAAGTATCTATTTTATACATTTTTTTTTCTAAAATCCTCTACGAAGAAATCCTGAGCATTGACCAAGTATGATATTTGTTGAATCGAGCTCCTGTTTCTTATGTATATAAATAAATAAAAATACATTTATATATGTTTTAAATATATCTTTTATAACAATTGATTCATAATTTTATTAGGTTTGTTTATTGGTTATGTAGTTTAGTTGACGTAATTTCTACATTTACTCATTTCTAATTTTTTAATTATCAAATAATTACAAGAAGAATTAAATGGCAATTTTTGTGGGATTTTCTATTATTAGGTATGTATTAATAATAAATGTGTTATACAATAATATAATTTATTTTTACATTAAATATTTATTGTATAAAACAGATTTAGGTGTAGGCGTGTAGCCCCAAATCTCAATTAGGGATGTAGACACTTGGCGACTTCTTCTCTCATGTCATTCCAACATTCCACACATTTTATACCTATTTGATACTTTTCAGTGTCTGATAGACAATAATACAAGATACTACTAATTTTTTACTCAACTATTGTGTGATTATTTAATCATACATTTTGGATAACCTATAATAATTATAAATTATAATATAGGCACACATTAAAAAATAGAGGTAGCCACATTTAGTGTTGTAATTTTTACAGAAAGTTATCACTCATCAGTTATCATGAACCCCGTTGTAAATATATATTATGTATAAACTAAACGCAGGTACAACATACTTCTATAATAAGTAAGGACTACGAGATACTAAGAACGTAAGTGTATACAAAAAATATACCTTAATTACTTATGTACAATTTAAATTTAAAAATGTGAAAAAAACATTTAGTTTATTAGAAGATAGAACGCCTATTAAAGTTAATTATAATGTTCATAAATTAATATTATACGAATTTAAATTGTATGACATAAATTATTATTAATTTATATACTTTTTTAAAAACAATTATATCGAATTCATATATTTTAATCAAAAGTATTTAACTCAAGTGTCATTAAACGTATAATTAGTGTAACTATAAATTATAGTTTTAAATCTTTACGTAATAGTTTTAATGTAATTTTATGTGAATGGATCATTTATTCCAAAAGATAAAAACTCAAGCAACCCACATCTAGAGAAATGTAATATACATACCTTTATAAATTATGTATATGAGTATTTAATATAATATGTATAATTTATGTTATTGTTTTGGTATGTACTATAACAAGTAAATGGTATTTAACTATTTAAGACATCAATGTTAGAACGATTTATTGTTGAAATAGGTATGTATGCAATTGGAAATAATTAGAACCCAGAGAAAAGACAACTGAAAAACACATTTTTAATAGATAAATAGTTATTTTCAGTATAAAAGTATTACATATAAGTAAGACGGAATCAAACGGTTATTCGTATGATGTAGAAAGTAAAACTGTCCATCGTTATGCTCAATATTGACAATTGGTTATCTACTGTTGGTCGGAACCAACTTGATTACGTAAATTCGATCGAATACCATCCGTATTGTGCGTGTATAAACGATTCGCGCCAAATTATCTAGTTACCTAACCCCAATGTAACCCAACAAACGTAACGGTCACAAGTGAGTAGCTACCTACAAATATTTATTTGGTCTAGTGGTCAGTATGGTTTTGTAGTCAACTGTAAACAATATTGAAAATAATATTTACTGAATAATAAATAAATTTATCATTTAATCAACAGACCAATATAATGACAGTACAAATATTGTTCAATTCATCTATTCTTCTGTCAAATTATTAAGTTATAGTCAAATTACTTTTAAGAAATAATAGGCCTACCTATGATATAAATTAGACTGTTAACTTGAATGTTCTTAATCTTTCGTTTTATTAATTTCAGTCAGAATCATCAAACAAAGATAAACACTTTGAAATAGAGTTAAAATAAGAAAAATATTTTTGATGGTATTTAAGTGCCGGTATTATATTCATAACTGAGTTGTAAAAAATAAATAGTGTGTACATAAATAAATATTTTTCTGGTTTATAATATTATTATTATTCAATAGGTTTGTACTTTTTTTTCATGGTCCTTTTTCGTCTTACATTTTTTTTTCCTGGACTACCTCAATTTAGTTTCTTTTATTTTATTACTTATTGTCAATTTTAAGATACCTTAATAACATCATACTCTTTTGTCAATGAATTATTTTTATAGCGTTGAACATCCGTCCAAATATTTAAGTTTCACTAGCATTTCATTTGCCGTTATAATAATATAACATCTGCTATATAAATGTTGACATAATAATCGTTTTATAATGAATATTGATTTATTTTTTATCATGATTTCCTTGCCAATTGTCAAAATCTAATATTGTTGATAGAAACAAACCATGCAAACTTTTAATAACAAAATGTATTTATATCCATTAGGATTTGTGATAGATCAAAATTAAATATAATTTATTCAATTTCACATTTAACTTTTAAAAAGTTAATTGTCAGTTACTATTGGAAACATATATATCTATATACATATATATATATCCAGTAGAATCAACCTTAATGGTGTGTTGAATATTAAGAATTCAGATGGTAGGTCGATAGTTTAATTTATAATATTAAAATTTGAAACAAAATGTAGCACTGTATAATATACATCACATTAATAGATATTCTATTATACCTATAAGACAAAAACACGTAAATAAGTGCAACTTGAAATTGTTGCTTTAATAGTTTATAAAGGTAGGTATAAATTATGTCACTATACAGTATACACTAGTCAGTTGTTATTATCAAAATAAAAAAAAAATAAAACTTATAAAATAAATGTTAATATTTTGTCAAAATTCTACGTGCTTAACTTACTATAATATGGTAATCTACAAATTTCTATAATGTACTTACTACCTGCCTAGTATATTTATTTCTTATCATTATTAATAGCTTATTTATTTTAATAATGGAATTATGTTAAAATCTATGATGAATTAATACGTATGTAATAAACTTATGGTAATTCACATACCTACAGCAACAAATTTTATACGTTTTTTTGCACATTTTTTTAAATTTTACATTTAAATGCATTTATAATCAATAGTTATATATTTGAAGAAACTTTTGGTATAAATACTTTTGTTCTTAAAAAAGTCGTATCATCCGTAAAGAATACCATAGCATTTTAAAAATAATAGCAAATGTAGGCATTAGGTATTCGTATACTATAATACTGCATTGATTAAAACCTAAAATTCATGTGGTTCGGAACAAACAACAATAAATAATACTTACAAATAAAAATAATCAAATAATCGCAGATATTAAGCTAAATATTGATATTAGTACGTTAAACAAAAATATTTTTATTTGACATAATTTTGAATTTGTTTTTTTTAATAGAATGACGTTTACACTATTAATAGTTACAACTTATGTAAGTTAACAGCTAATGAGCCAGAACAAGGAGAACAATGAGGTGGCATTTTTTAAATTAAATTTTATGTTTTAAGCTTATAATACATAGGAACATGACATTATTGAAAATGTATTATATAAATAATATCGTTTTAATGAGGTAAAGCGTACACTTTAAACTATACCGATAGGTTTAGCGGATATAATAATGTATGCAATCCTATTAATAGATAAACTGAACTTGATAATGCTGTAAGCTATGTATATTGGATCACCATGCTATTATTTAGTACATTTTTTTAGAATACGGATATTTAAAATAAATAGATTGTACGGTAGATATACAGGACGTGACAGGGCGTAACAAAACTGAAATTCGACTTAAAAATAATGGTTCAATTGTACACAGTTTGACGGTTTTAAAACGAACTGATTTTAACACGTTCCTACATAATACTGCACAATGCGTCGGACACTCGCAATAAAGTGTATTCAAATTCGCGCGTTTCGGTTGGAAACCTATAAAAAGCAAAAACAGTCGATTTTCAAAAAAAATAAAACCCATGATGTTTCGGAGTTAGTGTGCGGCTAAAGTTTAATCAATAATAATGCATAATAATAATATTATATTGGAATTTTACGGTGGTCCGACGTGCGCGAGCCCGCACACCGAAACCTGTATTATTAGTTATAGGTAGGAACCTAACTATACGATACACGTGTGTTATAACAACGAGGAGTGGACTCTTTTTTTTCTCATTCCGAACGCACGCTGACCAGGGGGACCACTATATACGTCTATCGACGTATATATCGAATATATTATCGTTTTACGTGTTGCGAAACTAGTAGACGACAAGCGAACAGGGTCAAGCGCGGTGATGTGTTTTGGAAAAAGAGTGACTCGGTGTCGTTGGTATTTTTATTATTATTATTTATTTTGTTTTTTTTTTTCATTTTTAAAGCAATTGATTAGCAGTCGGAAATCGTTGCGAAGGACGGTGGTACGCTCCCGCCCACATGCACACACAAGCGCACCACATATTATTTTATGTAAGCGACTCGGACGCTACGCGCGCGCGCACACGCCAAACACGCACACACACACATACAAATACACACACACACACACACACACACACACACACACACACACGTTTGTCCATAACCCGCCGGTTGGCATGGAAATTTGAAACGTAACGCTCGTCGGTGAGTGAAAACTTTTTCCGAATTTCACAACAAAAAATAAACCTAAGCGGACATAATGCGTTTATGCGTATTTACAAGCTATAAATAGTTTACATTATAGTGCGTACCTGAAAATTGCACCATATTATTACTTATTGTTTTTATTTTTTTACCTGCATAAAATGATAACACGTATATTATGCAAAAACGTATTGTAACGACGACATCGATATTATGCGAGAGATGCCGATAGTAATTTTGTGAAATACGTGTATTATTATAGTATACAGCCATAATATGGACACCGTCGATTTATCATATTTTCGGCATAGTAGGTATAATTCTATAAAAATGAATTTCAAAAGCATTTTTCGACTTACTAAAAATACGAATGGGCACACACGCCAGAGTGCTGGCAGCAGCTGCAGTAGGACTGCGCGGCGTACGATAACCGCCGGTCTTCGCGCGCAATCGTCCACTCTGTCAGGTATGGTTGGTAACGGTGCTCGAAGCTTTCAAGTTCGTGAAAGGGTTATTTATCTGCCGCGGTCTTCTTGAGTCGGTATACGAGCGACGGGTCGTCACATTTTTCTCATCGACTGACACGCGATTCGGCGGGAGAGTTATTAAAATAAATACCGCCCGCGGCAATTTTATACGGCGGTACACGCGCCGACGCACCGCGCGTATAATACAATATTATAATATACTCTAACGAAATAATAATTTTTTAAACAACGATAACGACGATGGCGATGATAACAGCCACAACAACAACAATAACGAGTACAGTCTCGTATAACAACTTACTGTCCGTATTACACGTCGCTGGTACACTGCTGGCAAACGGTGTGGTTACAGAGTAGGCCAGCAAGCTCTCTCTCCGCGGCGGTGGAAAAAAAAACCATACACACGACAACAAAACAAAACCCGTCCGATGGTGGGGCGGCCGAACGAATACACGTAACCAACAACACACTCACACGCGCGGGCGACCGCGCTCGGCGATGGCTGTCGGAGTAGAGGTATATTATACCTGTGCGTATAACGTCATGTAATAATAATAATAATAATCTTATACCACCGCGGTACGTACCCGTACTCCGCGGTAGTATACTTCGGTGCGTTTAATATAATATATTTTGAAAACGCGCATCACGTGCCTATACGAAGTACACCTATTAATTTTATTACGGTGGTATACAGGTAGGTAGGTACCTACGTACATTACCGTATTGGTACCTGTACATAATATTATCGTTGCGTATAATATAAGTGTTATGACACTAGCGCACCTGCAGTAAGTAAATATACCACCCATAAAATATCACGACGCCGTAGATATGTATATGTTTATGGTGTTAGGTGCTACAATGATAATATTATTAAAATAATATATTATATTTTATTTTGTACACGCACGAGCTCGCGTAATATTACCTACGCGAGAATCGTCTTCGGATAGTGTGTGGTGTGGCGGTGGTGGCGGTGGGATGCGTGTGAATCGTATTACCTACGCGCACCCGACTTTTTTTCCTCTTCTTTCCTCTCCGGTCGTCGTCGTTATAATTCGGACGCTGGTCGGCCACGGAAGACTGCCGACGCCGTCGCTGGGTGGACGATGCATCGTCTGCGGTGTACGCGCCTAGTATCGCATGCAGTGGCGTGCGGCATGGCCGGCCGAACGTGACGGAGACGCGACGGACCGGCGCGCCACGGCTTAACCTTACGTGTCGTGACCGCCGCGCGTCCCCTGCCTTTTTTCACCTTGCACTTTTACTGGGTACCTATATGCCTTACGGCTCGCTGCAGCATCAGTATGACGTGCAGGTACATACTTATAAAAATTATCGAGGTTGTATACCTAGGTATACTGCACCTGGGACGCGGCCCGGTTGACAAATGTATAATAGTGGATTCTCGCCGGGCGAGAACAACGATATCGATAAATATTATAACTGATAATTTATCGCCGTCCGTTGAAAAATAATCACGCTATCACATTTTTAGGTGGGTTTATATAATTATGTCGGAAGTGTGTAGAGTGTACGCGATAGAGTTGTGGGTATCGGCGTATCGCACACGTTATGGTCGCATTGTTATCGTTTATTCCTGATTACCTAGTAAGGTACCTACCAATATTTCTAATCGTACTATTATATACTGCAATAAGACGTGATCACATATTAAAGTAACCGGGTGGGGGGGGGGGACGTCAGACGGTCACAACAATTCTCCGCCCCGCCAGTTCCGGTTACCGCCACATGCCGCCGACGCGGCACAACAACTTGCGAAGACGGCAGTGAATATAATATGTATAGGTATAGAGTGGTAATATGATATTATTATAATAATATTATGCACGCTGCACCTGCAGCCAGGCCCGGTGTTGAAACCCGTGTTATAATATTACGACTTAGGAACAGGTACGATTTTTTTCTTTTTAATTATATCTACGTCGTAGGTAAATACAATTCATTATCAAGAAACGTATCGACAAAATTAATGTTTTATTTTTATTTTATATTATTAAATTAATCTTTCGTGAACAACTCGTAATGCTTAGAGTTCGATGTCTTATAGACTAGCCGAGTTTGGTTTCGAATAAATAAGCATCTGATCATGAACTACCCGGCTTGTTACTATTATAACTTTCTCGCATTTGCATAATACGAATTCCCATAATTTCGTGTCACTGAACTTGAATAAACTCGGTGTAAAAAGTTCCTGTCCGTGTATAAGCCCGTCCCCAGTCACAATATACATTCGACTATATATTGGGTTTATTTTTTTTTGGACCTACAAGATGTTAGACTAATATTATCAATATTATGTTATGCACTTTACAGTCACATTGAAAACCTGTTTTCTTCTTTCTGCCCGTCATCACGATTCCGTTGTTGACCTGTGTTAAGTTTTTAGTTTATTTTGTACCTATCATCGGTACAAGTAATATTATGATATTATAATAATGGACATATTTATATTACACAAAATATTAAAATACGTCTATTTGTAGAGGTATTTTACCATGTATTAATTATTAGGTACTGCACCACTGCATTTGTTTTCATTTTTTCAGTAAGATAATACGTAATTGGATATGTTCTATAAAAATAATAAATAACTATAACATTAAATTTGTTTCTAAACTAAGGGTAAAATATATTTTTAAGTATTTAGAGTACCATTATATTATAATATTTTAGAATAAATATTATGCATTGTGTTACCTACCCACTACTATATACTTGCCAACTATTCAAATAATAAGATACAAAAACCACGAATAATCACTTATATATATTATTTTGATACAACACAATGCATTTCATTTCTGGGGCATTTGTTTTTTGTTCTTAGTGGATGAAAATAATTGATGACTTATATATAGTAAACATTATGTAAATCGACCAAGGTTTGAAAATAAGCAGTTGTGTGCAAGTTGAAAACAGTCAGTTTCATGAAAAGTTATTCTAATTATAATGAATAAAATATCAAAAGTACTAATACAAATTTTAAAGATTCGTAAAAAATTATAAATATTATTCCTAGTACCTACATTTTCCATAGAAAAACTGATTAATAGTATTTCTGGTTAATGTTTTCATAGAAACCAACAATAGATTATTGACAATTTCACAAATGACATTGAACATACGTTTTATCAGTTGTCACTTGCCATTTATGTATTTTATTACCTAGGTAGGTACCTACTAAATAATATAAAATATACATTTTGCCATCAAGCGATGTTGATTAGTGCATACCTACTGATTATGGCATACTGCATCACTGCATCAGTATTCAGTACAACAGTAGGTACCTATGTATACTAAGCTTAAGCAATAGGTAGGTAGGTATCTTCAAACGTGTAGATATTTTATACTCTCATCGTCACAGTTGAGTCTCGCGAGATGCAACATTATAAGTACCTACGTATAACGTGATACGTTTTAATTATCTCATGCGTATTGATTACGTTCTTGGTGTAATTTAGAATTAATTCAATTGTTTTAAAATTAATTTGTAAGTTATACAATTTGTGTTTTTACAAACCATATACATACGTAAAAGACAATAATTTTAAAATGTTCATTTAAATAATTTACTTGTTGCATAAAAATACATTTTATTTTTAATTAAATCATTTTATACCTTTTTAGGGGTAGTGTACTATAGTTTTGAGTGACAATTGAAATGCCAGATTGGTATTTTTTTTTTTGTAAAAATACAATTTGTGTAACGATGGAAAATAATAGAAAATAATAAAAGACTATAGTGGTAAAAGGTGCCAAATAAAATTTTTGAGAACTACATTCTTTAAATATAGACAATATAGCCTTACAGGTTTGGTTATCAACGGATTATAAGTCGAGCACCCAGATAACAATTCGAATGAAGAATTTAAAGAGTGACAAGAACTAAAAGGTATTTTATTTTCTGGAAGATATACATTGAATTTAGAACAAAAACGTTCAAGCTAACTGAAAAAATAATTTATTTACTAGTTATCTTATTTATACAGGTATTTATGGAAAATTTGGTTTATAACTAAAATATTTAACGTTAAGATTTATTCATAACAAAAAAAAATTATAAGACTTGGCTCAGATTACATAACAACCTTGTTTTTTACAATAGTTAAAAATCAATATAAATATTGCTATAGTTTGAAGTTTAAAATTGCTCTTCAGATTCTCCAGAACAATTTGATATTTTAAGATAGCACCATTTGGTTTTGAGTCTATGTCATTGTATTTCTATAATATTACTATATAAAAAATATGGTAATTATCCTATTGCCTATAGTAAAAAAATTCATCGTACTTGATTCTGACATATGAAACTTCATCCCTATCATGGAATTCGATACACGTTTTCTTGAGAAAATAAAATAACGCTTTAAGCCTAGAAGATCTCGAATGATAGTTCGTGTAACGTGTTTAAGCTAAGATTATAGCTTACGTTCATGCTGTTCACGGTCTAGTTATTTTTGCTATTTATTTAAGTCTCTTCTTTTTGTACTTCAGGAATGGATTTTATCAGAAAGACTAAAGCAAAGTGGGTATGTGATTCTAAACCAATTTCAATAATAGAATAGTACAATATTTTCAATGGTATAATAAAATTAATTTAGTGTAAGATTTTATTGTATTTAAAAAGTTTAAGGTTATATTAAATATAAGATAGTATATTTGTTAGTACCTATGATTATTTCTATTATGTTTATAATTAAATTTTTTTGTTTGTCGTTGTCTTACACTCTTACATGTCAATACCTATTCAATTTCGTCAACATTTAAATATCAGGAGCTCATAAAAATATTTGTGAAATTACACTCAACTTTATTGAATATAGTAATATTAAAGATGTACCTATATGGTATACTTATTCTGAATTTGTGTTTTTTTTAAACATAGTGTTTATAATATACATATATAGTGTTAGGAGTAGTTATACACTTTGGTAATTGTACATAAAACCCTACACAAGTTGTTCTTATAGCAATGCAGGTTGATAGACGTCTTTGCTCAGAACCATTTTTCGTACATTAGAGTGACCTGCTCAATAAAGAGGTACACTCTAAATAGGAACAAATACATTAACAGTTAAAACTCTCGTTTCACTGAATCACGAGGATGAGATGACGAGGCCAGAGGAGTAAGTACACACAATTAAGATAAACGAATACCCATAGAGCGATTGTGGGCGGTGCGACGCTGCATCGCTATTTGCAGATCCTGTTAACCACCGGGATAACACAACTTCCCAACCAGAAAGTACCTTCTTATGTACACAACTTATGTTAGAGTCATATAGGCTAGAGTAGGGCTTCTCAAACTGTTTATATTACTGGGGGGAGGAGGGAGCGTAAAATATTTGGATATATTTATTTTATTCAAACTATTTTCTTGAGGCCTTAATTATATTGAAAAAGCTTATCTCACATTAGACTTAATCGACAATGATGGTAATCTTAATATGTCATAAAAACTTTAAATGCGCCCTGAAGTAAAAAACCGGTCAAATAAATAATACTACACCTTGAGGAGGAGAGGGTGGCCTTGGCAGTTTTACATTCCATTTAGGGAGACCAATGGGCAATGACAAAATAAGATTGAGAAGCACTGGGCTAGAGGGATGAACGAATGAAATTTTGACAATAAGTGGCACAGGCGAATATCCATGGCTAGGATTTTTGAAACAATATTTAGTTAGGTATTATAATATATACGTGATCTATATATGCGACGTCAAATTTTTCACAGGATTACTTCAAAATATTGTGTACGAATGATAATGATAATATGTATTATTTTATCTTTTAAAATAATTTTACATTTGCATATTATAAGAAAACTGTAGTAAAAATGTTGGTAATATACTAATGTCGTATATTTTACTATTGTAATAATATAACCATAAAAGTTGAGTAATATGTATGAAAAACAATCAATTGTAGACTAGCAGTAGACTCATTTTATTGTAAAGAAAACGCAATAAATGACAAACAAGTATAAATGATTTTATTACACTGTTGAATTCAAAGCAAAAAGAAAATCTTTGTTTTTGTAGACTGAATTAAACTTGAAACAATTTATTTTGAAATAAGTGATCAGAACTCTAACTTATTTACTTTCCCCACCTCTGAAAGATTCCCATTCTTTGACATTTGCAATTTGCTCCCCAAAGATTGCAACGACAGGAACTACTGTTACAGCAGAACTTGGGCCTGTGGTCGCAGTTTCCTCCTCTTGGCACACAATATCTACGAAATATTCTTTGGGTCGGTAGTTTCCTTATTTAACAAAAAATAGATAAAACAAAATATTTTCTATTATATTACTTCAATAAAAATTGTTTTTCAATTGTATCTAACATAATTAATTCAATGAAGAAATTATATTTTAATAATTGTATCTATGTGTTAGTTAAGTTTGTTCTTACCTTTTTTGTACACCGGGAAAAGTTAAAGTCAATCTATCATCTTCTGAATCCTTATCCATGTAATCGTCTACGTCTGTCAATAGTTCAACTCCATTTTCTTCTAAAACAAAAATAAAAGTATACCTACAAGTTATTTTTCGATGTTATATTTTTCAAATTCATTAATAATAGAGTTATGTACCATAAATCAGTAACATGTTTCAGTGTTAGAAAATTGACAGAATTAGATAGGTACACTGCTCTACAAATATATTGTAATTTCATAAATTCGTTTAATTTAATTTTCAACCCGGTTTTAATTACAAAAGCTACCGAATAATAAAATAATAACTATGTATGCTCAATGCTCATACATTATATATATATATCTTATTTGTATACGTATTTTGTTTACAAGTAATTCAATTGTGTACACACTATTTGTACTTAATGGATTTTTAAGTTCATAAATATTATTTTCAACGAAATCCCTCAGCTTTATGTTGAATTATATTTTTTCTTCGTATTTGATTACAAATGTTTATAATCATCTATATCTGAACCTGAAAACAGCTTGTCAAAGTGCCTTTATTTTGATTAGGTACTCGGTCACAATCGCATATTAAAAATTATGTAATAGGTAATACATTTTGATTATTGAAACTTTTTTAGATTAGCTTGTATGTATTTTTAATGTAAGATACTACGCAGTATTCTAAAACACCCAATGAACTAGTAAACAGTGATAATATGATGTTATTTCATGACAAGCAATGTAATTATCAATAAATATTAAATTTATTAACAGTATAATAATATGTATATTGTATACCTATTACCTGCACGGCTGCAAGGTTGCACACAACAACTTTACTATTTTATCATTTATTTGGGACATTGGGTACCTAACTAATTTTACAAAGTTATTTTTATACTATTCAATAATTGTAAAATAATATTAAACCTTACCAAGGGTGCTGAGGAAGTAGTATTATTACATTTGTGTGACCATTTTTTTAGATCGTATAATACCTATACTGGTTTTGAATATAAATTTTCATAAAATATATTCTATAACTAATATTACATGGTAAAATTTGAATATAATTTGAATTAAAAATATTAATATCATCTGTACCTAGTATAGTAGGTAATTATCAAGTATTTATATTTTAAAAATCTATAAAATAATGCTTATTTATTTAATCGTGTAGAAATGGAGTACAAAAATTAATCAAAATGGAAACTAAGTAGTTCAGTACCTATAATTTAAAGTTAGACTGGCATTTAGTATGACTGTATAGAGTTATATTTATATCTTAAGTATCTCAAAAATATTAAGTGAAAGGCTGTTTAAAAGGGTGGATTGAAAAATTGTCTGTGTGACTATTCTTTCACTCTAGATGCATTTAGAGGGCACGCACTAATGTAAGCCAGTTATATTTTGATGTTTTAGTTGACATTCGATATATATCATTGATAAGTCATTAAACAGCACTTGAATTATATGGATAACTTTTAGTTTTGCTAAAGTGACAAAAATATAAGAATAGATAGATATTTTTGCTTATAAATATGTTGTTCATACCTTTACCACCTTTTACTAACGTTACACAGAATCTTAGTTTCTAAATAATGTGTAATTCATTGTATATTATGTTTTGTTTTTCAAATTGAATAGGTATATAGTTTAAGACACTATTAAATTCAATATATTTACTTATTGAATTACCTTCATATCTTAGTATTATATAGGTATGGACTGTATTATTGTTTAGTATTGTTGGTATTTATTATGAATTACAATTAATTATTTTAAGCTGAGAAAATATGTAGTACTTATGTAATGTATTAAGTTGCAAACATTTTATTTCGGGTACTCAGATTATTTTAGTGTCAGTTTGAAGAGGTGGATTGTTAATATTGAAGTTTGCATACAAGCAAAAAATATTTGAGGAATTTCGTTGGTGGCAAGACTGTTTATCAAAAGATGAAATTCCTGAACACCTTTGTAAACACAATGACTTTTTTATTAGTAAATCTTACTTCTTACAGTATAAATTGAATTGAATACATTTTTAACATAGCAATCAAGACATTTTTGTAGTAATAAAAAAAATATTTTTACCCAAAGATTTTCGTTAAGAGAATTATCTTTTCTCTTTAACATACATTTTACAATTTAAATAACCTATTTTGAGACCAATTACCATGTTTTTGAAGAAAGCGCTGTTACCCATTATTATTTTTTTTTTAATGTATACTAAATAAATAATATACTAGAAGTATTAATTTTTAAAAAAATATAGCTTATTTTTTGTTATTATTTTTGACCTTCACTCTAATAAGTCAACTTGTTGTACTTATGTTGGATTACAAGTTAAATATTAATTGTTTTGAACTATTTATCCTCATAAGTTAAAAAAATCAATTCTATACTTACCAAGCGAATCTTTATCCAAGTAGTTATCTAGAGGTGATGCAGTTGACGTCTTTTGCAGAAAAATGAGAGATATATGAAAAACCAAAAAAATGGTAACGAAGTACTTCATTTTTAATTTCTAGAATTAAAAAAATATATAATATTTCTAATAAATTTGTAAAATAAGGAATATGTCATACAATTATAAGAAATAATTTATATGCCTGTTCCTATACATACAATGTATATTATATTCAGTAAACATTATAAGTCATATTGTTAATACAAAATTAATTGATTAACATTGAAATTAGAAAACAATTTAGTTTGGATTAAGATTGATGGTTTTTAATATTTTATATTACCTATTGAATGTAGTAACAGGATAAGATACAACGTTTTGTTATTTTTATGGTTGTGCAATCAGTTTTACAAAAGCGATACCATTACGAATGTTATTTAAACTTCTGTTTATATCTACGGCCATTAAAAGTTATTATCAAAGTTATAACGTTATAAAATTACCTAGCCACGTTTGAACCTTCTGCATTTATTTCCATTTGAGTATTAATGTATTTCCTTCGTTAACTCGTGGTTTTGAAAACGAACAAATAACATAATATAAAGCTGTACGGAATGTACTATGTGTCATTATACGTATAGGCAGTAGCCAGAAACTATTAAATATCATACAAAATAATGATTTCATAGAAGTACATTCATATAGGTAATATTATACATGTATACACATTATATTCAGAAGGTATTTTTTAAAAATGTATTACCGATTGGCTGTATTAACATAATAAACATAAAAATTAAAATAATATAGTATTTAGGAGGTAACCTGGAACATTTAGTAGTTATTTATGAAATTCATCTTAGAACACATTCCAGTGGTTCGCATTACATTAAAACAATAGCTGTCGTTAACATAATAATGTGTTTACATAATGACCGATAATGTATGTTCGCCGTGTATATTATGGATGTAACAAAACGTTGCACCTAGCCGCTATTTTATAGAAACATTATAATTATTCATATTAGTTATCCATAGAATAATATGTTGGCAAATGTCTATAGAAGGGAATTCGACTTTCAGTTTTCCACGGTCAGCAAGAATTTCCTGGACAAATCAACTAAATAGTGTATTCAAACAATATGAGTTAGTTAGGTGCTCAAAAGTTTATGCGTTTTGTTATTCAATTTAAATTTGAAACCAAACTAATGTCTTAAAATTATTTTTAATAAAGATGAGTATCTAGTTGTACGTTTAAAATTCAATTTCTTTAGTTTTTTATGTAATAGGTAGGTATATTGTTTTAAGTCATCCATTATTCTCAAGTAACTTCATAATATAACGAAACTAGAAAGTATGCGAAGTACTAATTTGTCATATCTGTAATTTTTTTTTGTTATTATTATCAGTTTGAACTAGGAAGCACTATACTAAGTTTTGTGTTGGTAGTAACAAATAACAAATAGGTGACTAATAAAATAATTGGTTCATAATTTATAAAAATGCATACCCAAGAGAATAAATTTATTTAACTTATTTAACTCGAGTATCATGTTTCCTTCGTATTTTAGCAAATAATGTATCATATTTATATGATCTATAAATTAAAATTATTTTTAGTTTTCTATAACTCAACCCATGATCATTATTTTGTACTAAAAACTAAAGTATAAATCCTGAAAAATATATTCGAAATCCTAACAACAATTCTTTTATAAAATATCAAATGTGTAATTAATGTTTTTAAATTATACTTAGAAATTAAAATACATGTTATTGTTTGAATCACAAATGTATGCAGTTTATTTTCATGTTGAGTTAAAAAAATATGATATTTTTAAAAAACTACTATTACTTGCAAAAAATGTTAGTTATATTGTAATCTTATTATTATTCTTTATAACGCAATTTCATAGGTAAGTGCTGTATGTCTATACTTGTATTTTGTTTTGTTATGTATAAGAGTAAAGGAAATATTTAAACAACAATTGGTATTTAATTGTTGGTAGAATTCGATTTTTAAAATCTGGTACCTATAGATTATTGTTTAAAATATGTATTTATTAATTTTTGCTGAAATAAAAACCAATGTTCCAATGTTTAAAAAGTATATATATATATATATATATAAATTGAGTAAACAGCTATAGAGGACGAATCAGGACCGACTTTATTTTCCAACTCAACCAAATTTAATATTGCTTAACCGTACTGTCGTGTACATCTATCCCAAAACAGTGTCTACTGATGCCGATCGTTATTTTAAATAAAAAACTTTTCAATTGAATTATGTCTAAATAAATAAGTAAATTTTATTTGCATGATTAATATCCAACATAGCACGTTATTAAATTATTAAATAATACTGTTTTACTTCTAAGAAGTGATTGTGGTTCGTTTATTACGTGCCATTTTTAATAAAACAAATAACTAATAATAATGGGAATATTTTACAGGAATATCGTTTCATAATATATTGATTTATACTTTAAAAAGAGCTTACGGAATTTCGTTTACAGATTGATATTATTTATATTGTTATAAATTCTTAGCTGTTATGTTTAATTAAATGCGTATAATTGATTAAGCTCATTTATAAAAATAATGCAACTTAAGTAATTTTATCTAATAACCATATTAACTAAAGCTTATAAGATCGAAATAAAATAATAAACTTTAGCTTTATTTATATTATTTAATCAAATAAAAGACACAAAATAAACTAAAATTATTACTTTATTAATTTTTATTATCATTAAATAACATGTATATGTATTTTATTTATTTTATGTATGTAATTGTTACTATTCAACTATCATCAAAACCTCATTTTACATTGGACCACCTAGTATGGGAAATAATATACAAACGTATAGGCATGAGTATGTTTTAAAAAATCTTTTACATAAAACAAATTACGATTAAAAATAAGAATCTACAACTTTTATTCTTGTGTATGAAAAAAATACAAAATACTACTTTTTCGTTTAATATCATATAAAATATTTTTCACTTACATACATTTAGATAAAAATAGGGGAAGTATGTAAAAAATCATTTGTACATTTGGGGTCAAGTGTAAGTTACTGTCTAATGGATGTATTAAATATGAATGAAATGATACACCATTTTAAATGAAAAAGGATTTTGAAAAAGGGACGGTCTGTTAGTCTATTACCAAATAAATGTACCCGCTGCCTATTGTCTATGGTTATTCATTATTATGTAGTAGTTTATATTTCTATTAATAGTAATACACAACTTTATACAACTAACAATTAAATTAAATTAAATTAATTGTATTAAAAATGTAATCGTTAATAGAATGTAATAAAAAACTTAAAAATTACAAATCCCCATTTATTTTTAATTACTAAGAATTTTTAGTTTAAGTATCGAGAATATTTTCCAAATCTCAACTTAAAATATCAATAAAAAAAGTCTAGTTTATAAATATTTTGATTTTTAAGTTCTGAGTAAGTACTTGTCATAACATTTTTGAATTCTTAAATTTAATAATTGAACAATTTCTACATTTTTCACTAAGATATTTTGAAAATTATATCATTCATAGAAAATGACAAAATTAAAATTTGGTAAATATTTTAAATATTCACGGTTATACGTTTATGAATAACAATAACAATAAAATATCAAATATCGGTTGAAGAATAATATATAATCTACCAGTGAATAAATATTATATGTCATAAGAAATTCAAACATTCATAAAAAATGAGTTTAAATTTCCGGTAAACTATTATAGGTAAAATAATATGAGAAATATAATATTACATTTTTAAGTCAAAAAAAAAAAATTAAACTGAAACTACAAAATAATTCATCAAAATTCTAACTTTAAACACGCTTATAAAAAAAAACATTTGACCATGTGCTTTCGATATTTTATAATTAGCATATAAAAAACTTACAAGAAACCTTGAATTAAATTTTAAGACTTTTTGTCCAAGCGAAAAATGTTTTATTCATATTTGTTGTGAAAAACAAAAAAATAAAAATTGTTATGTCTACATATATATAACTCAAAAGCTTCAAAATATTTTGAAAATTGTATACTGTAAAAGAAAAATACTTTTAATACTAACTTTTTGCGAAAATTCAATGTAGGTTAGTAGAAAGTTATTTGTTTTTGAGTTACACCAAAAAAATAAATTCTATTTTGCAAAAATGGTTTTGGGTAAAAATGACCGTTCTTAATTTATTTTAATTTTATTTTTCGTTATAAAAGTAAAAATCAAAACATTTTTGCTACTATAAACCGAAAAACACGTACACAAAAATACAATTCACACATATGATTGTAAAATCAATATAGTCATCGCTTACTTTATAATCTAAATTAAAATGTAGTTACTATATTATAATTTTAACAGATTATTTTTGCTATACACTTATAAATATACAATTTATTTATCAGTAAGAAAAATACATTTTTAATATAATATAATTGTGGTTATAATATTAAACAAATATTAAACAAACATTGATTAATAAGACACATAATATCATGTATACCTATCGAATTTTTTAAGCAGGAAATTAGAGGATGAATTTTGCATAGTAAAATATATTACTCTTCTTTATGTTATTCGATTAATATTATAAGTTAATTATTACATGTACAATCGATATTCTATGTCCATATTTTCTTAAATAAATAATAAATAATTGTTTATTGAGTTGATTTAATTAATTCAACACGAAAGTTTATTTTTGTTACATTGGAGTGTATTAGAACTATTACTAGAAAGATAGTTTATAAATCAAACAAAACATATAGGTAACAAATATTTGTATTAAAACTATCCTACGGTTACTAGTAAAAATGTTAAATTTTATTTTTATTTGTCATTGCACGATAGTCTTATACTACTTAAACTTTCTATTTTTAAATATACTAATGATTCTAAAAGCATTTTTTTTTTTACCAAAGACATTTAAATATTAAACCTTTATATAAAAAAAAAACCTTAATATATTTTTATGTTAAAAATGATATAGTTTAAGTTTTGATTATAATATCGTCGCGTTCCTAGTACCTATATGTTATAATATGATAAAAATAAATAAATGGCGTAGATAATATTATTTTTATTGATATATAATTATAGTAATTATAATGAGAAGTATAAGTATTAGTATATATAATATGTATAATATAAAATCCGTTCATTTAATTATACATTTAATGTAAAAAAAATATTAAATAACAACTTACTTTTAAGATAGACGTATAGACGACAGAAAACGTTGGACGTAATAGTATGAAGTATACTGAGTGGATTCTGAGCAATATTAAGACAGCTGCCTGCTTTTATAAGGAAGAACCACCGAGCGAAGGGTGGAAAAATCACCCAACAAGTCTTGTAAGCGCAAACTCCTTTTCTGATTTTGGCCAGACATAATAATAACGAATTATATTATGTTCTTTAGTTTCTTCGATGCTTATAATTCATAGTGCATAGATAATTAATTATTCAAACTGAAATATAATTATAATAGTATAAATATAAAGTAAAATACATATTATAATGTAAGTAAAATAATTTTATGTCACATATTTGTTATTTCTTATTTATTGGGTACCTAACTAAAATATAAGAAACCGATGCAAATAGTGTATATATATATGTGTGGATAATTGAGAAAAAACGAAAGAATATAAATAATATTTATGCACAATTGCATTTATTTATAATATACATTGACTGAATAAATTAAAATATAAAACAAAACAATTATTATGTACTTTAACATACCGCGATGTTCATTGTTGTAGTTATCATTTTAAACAAATTAAATTTAAAAAAGTATGATTTCAATAATTTGTAGAAAATTTATATTAATTAAATAGTTTGAATACATTTAGATTTTTATACATAACGCTGTATATGAATTCATTTTAAAGAAAAAAATTAAAATCCACTATATTACAATAATTATTTAAATAAAAAAATATAACTGTAAAAATATTTACTATAAGTTTACTTTATATTTGTTAACATATTTGATTTCCAGCCATCTGTTATTGAAAATGCTGAGTGCAAATGAGTTTGTTAACACTGTATTTAATTGAGTCAGCTTCGAAATCAGCCTTCAAATATAATTATATAGTATAAGTATAATTTAAATTGATTATTATAATTATTTTTGATTAGCAGTATTTTATTAGAAAATAGTAACTTGTAAACTACCTTAAAATATGAATTTTTCTATCTTGTCTTATGATATAAACCGAGTTATGTAGATTTAAAGTTATTTTTAAATAAATAATTAAAATGTTTTAAAAACAATGAGATAAGTTTACGAACAAAATCTATTAAATAATATAATAATCGTAATGTCATCAATGTCGTTTAATTCTCTACGGATAGTTTGTAAGACAGATGCTAATTATAATATTATAAGATATTAACTAGGCTAATGGAGATATAAACACTTGAATACGTAATTTACTTTAGAAGTTTTGATAACATCACAACTTAATAAGTATTACTTTCTTCAATAATTCAAAGTTAGATTATCATCTACGAAATAAAGTGTACGCGGTAGTATATTATTTCACTTGCGCTTCTGGATTATAAACTTTCATAGCGTTTACTAATTAACTTCATCCTATAAAATGTTTAATAGATTAAGTTATTTGTTATTTTTTTTTGGTATCACTCACCATTAAATGAAATATGGACAGTAATATTAAAATTTAAATATATTTCTTTGTAAATTTATAAGTAAGTTAATTTTAACTGAAGGTTAGATTTCGATGTTTTCATGAAAAACTAAATACATTTTAACATCTAGAACTTCAATATCATGATCTCCTGTTTTGTCGTGAGAGGCACTTGAAAGCTTTTTCAGTCAGCTGATTATAGTTATAGGTATTTATGTTTTTGATTCTGAGCCAAGTGATAATAATGTATTGTTCTTACAATAATGTGTGAGGGTTTTTCGTGTATTATCAGCTTTAAGGGGGGCTCTAGTAGAGAGTTGTATTAAGATGGTGCTTTTTGGAAACAAAAATAAAAATACGGCTTTGCACCCAAAATTGTCACCTATGATCTATGGTGATATATGTACAAAATCACTATTGATTTTATATTTCATTGATTTGAATTAATTAACATATTCATTTAAGGTACCGATTAACATTTGAGAAATAGCTAATAATTAGTAATTTATAGAGGACCCAAAACAAATTAAATTTATTTCAGTAACTTATTTTGTTTTACTGTTTTACTGCAATATAACAATTTTAACAATTGTATAGGTATAAAAAAATGAATACCGAAGGTCAGTAATAAAAAATTAAAGCCTGATCGAATAGCCGCATAGGAAAACATCCTCTAAATATTTAATTTTAATATTGAGCTGATGGTCAATTAAACAATATATTTATATTAGGCGCACTACATTTTAACGAGTCATTAAATGAATTATTAATGGCTTATGCAGCCCTGTACAAATAATATATTTAAAAATGATTTTTATTATTAAATAAAATAATGTATTTATACAATAGGTAGATGATAAATAATAGTGTTAACAACATGTGGGGTGTATCATGTAGGTAGATATTCCCATCAACGAATGAGACACTACCTACATGGAAATATAAAATACCTGAGCTTACACTTCGTATTTTGTGTCTCGACTATCAATACCCTAAATAGAAGGTATATTGTACCTATATTTATGATATATATATAATATATTACCGTTTACCAGTACTGAGACCACCTCCAAAATCAAGTTTTTTTTAATCAGAATTATTGTATTTTGATCAGCTAGTTACTAAAACAATTGTTTATATGTATGTGTGTGTACGCGCGTGGGAAGTGAAACTTCTGTCGCAGTTGTTTGGTTTGTGGAATTTTATTTTTTTATGACTATTAAAAATACTGTATTGTATAAATGAAATTTATCATCGTAGCCAAGATTGAAATATATTTATAAAATATTTATAATTTTATTACAAAGTAAAATCAGTAATACAGTTATATTAATTGGAAAATACTATTTGTTATTAGTTTTTCAATGAACTTTCTATAGTTTTTATAGTTACAACCAAACATAACACCTTAACGTTACCTACAGTGATGTGATCATTTTTTTTTAGGTCCCTGCGAAAAATGTTTAAAGAAATCTGTGGAAGTCACTCTGCCATGTAGAAGGTGTTCAGTGTACTTCGTAATTTAATAGGACATTATCTGTGTTTATTTTTGAATTCAATTTTAAAATATGTCATTGTGTATAGTACCTACCTATGCACTATACATAAATACGAAAAAAGCAATCCTGAGAGAAGACGTTTTGTTAGCTTTTATTTCTAAATGTCAACATTCTATTGCACATGTATGATGCTTTTAGAAATTTATTTTTCTATTGACACATTCATTGCTTTCTACAGAAAATAAAATAAAAGCTAAATTACTATACTGTGAAATTATGACACTTTTAAAGATATACGTAGATATTTTTCTTATAATAATAATATTAATGTTCGTATTTTAGACATTGGTATACTAAAAGACATATCATACGCCATCTACTGGTTAAAAATAGAAAGCATTTATTATTATTTAAAGAGTTACATTCAGACTTTTCTCAAACGTTGGCAGATGAAATCAGAAAGAACTACACACATTTTTTTAATTTGATATTTGATGAAGAGAGAACAATCATATTGTATAATATTAAATAGGTACAAAAAAATATTTTTAAATATATTTAAATAATTTACTAGATCAAATAATTACGATTACGTTCATTAGTGATATTTATATTATGTTCTATTGTATTGTTCTGTATTATGTTCTATTAACTTGATTCTTTAAATTATTACTATTTACATACCAGTAGAGATGAACATATAACTTGTATTTCATACATTAGGTACGTAGGTATTTTATTTAGAGAAAATTACATGCCATTACCTTTTATCACTGAGGACCCTAATATTAAACATTAGTCAATCTTCAATCTTCATCACCTCGCAACGTATTTACGTATAGGTTTTACAAGTGCAGTAAATACTTACATATTTTCATGCTTGTGTGTAATGTTTGTAATACACTTGCTCAATAAAATATAAGCTGGAACAGTTAAGACCTCGCGTGATTAGACATGACCGTGATTTTCATTTTGTGAATCGCGCTGCAGTTACTACAGTAGCGATATTTTAGTTTAAAGAACTGTAAAACCGGGATTTTGTTTAATATTAATAATTATAATAATATGCCATACAAATATTATTACAATAATAGCCACATTATTATAAATTTCATACAAGAGATATTCTTTTATTTTTTGTAGCCTTAAATCGAATATTTATAATGTTTCTTAGACTGCGACACGAAGTTCCTCCTTTGATTATTTAATGTAGTACAAATAATGCTTAATCCACAGCGCGAAATAGAGAAGATATATCGGTCTGTCATCACAGTTCGGGACAGTAAAAGTGCTTCGATTTTCTTCAACAGCAACTTTTCTGGTAGGAAAGTAAATCTAGTTGGTGCATTCGGGTGGCCAAAATTTAAAATTTCCAAGTGATAGGAGAAAGAAACAAAAATTTAAGGAAAAACAGGAATTTTTACCAAACGTTAATATTAACTTGTTAATTCAAGTTAAGTTAATTAAAACAAAATTAAGTTCCGTTTTTATATAGTTAAAATTAAAATAATATCTAGTGACGTAGTATATTATTTGTATAAACGACAAACGTACTACAGTCTCAATAATAATTAATCGTTTATAATATTTTATACGAAAATATGAAATTATAATAATTGAAATTGAAATCAACTTAACTTGTTTAAATGTAAAATTAACTTAATTTATTAAAAGTTAATGTTTTGTACTCCTTAAGTTAATAATTAAGTTTTCATTAATGAAAACTTAAACTTATTAACGCGTTAATGTCCAGCCTTGTCAAACAGTATACATTAGGATGATATTCAGAAAATAAAAAAAAACGGGACATTTGTTACTTCCCCCCCCCTCAAAAAAAAAAGAAAGACCTTTCCATATACATTTACACATATGCATACAACTGTAGAGAGTAAAAATACAAATTTGAGTCATATCATAAACAATTATTTTCTTACAACATCATTTTTGAGTAAATAATATAAATAATAATCCAATCAATGAAATTATAATATCTAATATCACTGACTACAAAACTATGATTAATATTATATTACATACATTTAAGCTGGTAGAACCACAGATAAGTATAAATTAAAATATAAAAATAGATAATAAAATTAAAATTAAAATTTAC